GAAGGAAACAGGAATTTGATGCACTTTTAGAACATTAACGTGATTGTAGATGTTGATATGATATCAAACAAGGAAAGCGAAAACTTGCATTGACATCAGGAAAGTAACAATGAGTTTCGATCTCAAATAGCTATCAGACCCAAATGCTTCTGCCCGGTTTCGAACCAGGGACGTTTCGCGCGTAAAGCGAATGAGATAACCACTACACTACAGAAACAGCTGGATGGCTGTACTTTGCCTAATAATTTCGAGCTTTCAGTAGCCATCTAATTTTCTCGTTTTTAGCAGCTATATGAATTCTTAAATGACCCACATTTCTGGAGGCGCAGGAAGCTGCGTTGTGCAGTTTCTGTAGTGTAGTGGTTATCACGTTCGGCTAACACGCGAATGGTCCCCTGTTTGAATCCGGGCAGAAACATATGGATTTTGATACATTTTTAGAATTTTTTAGAAGGGAAAGCCATTTGTATCTAGTAGATGTTGATATGATATCAAACAAGGAAAGCGAAAACTTGCCTTGACATCAGGAAAGTAACAATGAGTTCAGATCTCACCAGCTATCAGACCCGAATGTTTCTGCCCGGTTTCGAACCGGGGACCTTTCGCGTGTGAGGCGAACGTGATAACCACTACACTACAGAAACAGTTGTATATTTGTACTTTGCCTGAAAATGTCGTACTTTCAGCAGACATCTACTTTTCTCATTTTTAGCAGCTGTATGAATTCTTAAACGACCCAAATTTCTGGAGGTGCAGGAAGCTGCATTGTGCAGTTTCTGTAGTGTTGCGGTTATCACGTTCGCCTAACACGCGAAAGGGCTCCGGTTCAAAACCGGGCAGAAACATTGGGAATTTAATGCAATTTTATAACATTAACGTGATTGTAGATGTTGATATGATATCAAACAAGGAAAGCGAAAACTTGCATTGACGTCAGGAAAGTAACAATGAGTTCCGATCTCAACCAGCTATCAGACCCAAATGTTTCTGCCCGGTTTCGAACCCGGGAACTTTTCGCGTGTGAGGCGAACGTGATAACCACTACACTACAGAAACAGCGGTATGGCTGTACTTTGCCTAAAAATGTCACGCTTTCAGTAGACATCTACTTTTCTCGTTTTTAGCAGCTGTATGAATTCTTAAATGACCCAAATTTCTGGAGATGCAGGAAGCTGCATTGTGCAGTTTCTGTAGTGTAGTGGTTATCACGTTTGCCAAACACGCGAAAGGTCCCCGGTTCGAAACCGGGCAGAAACTTCAGGATTTGATACATTTTTAGAACATTAAAGGGAAAGCCATTTGTATCTAGCAGATTTTGACATGATATCAAACAAGGAAAGCGAAAACTTGCATTGACATCAGGAAAGGATCAATAAATTCCAATCTCAAACAGCTATCAGACCCAAATGCTTCTGCCCGGTTTCGAACCAGGGACCTTTCGCGTGTAAAGCGAACGTGATAACCACTACACTACAGAAACAGCTGCGACTGTGTTCTACGCCTAAAAATCTCGTGCTTTCAGTAGACATCTAATTTTGGCGTTTTTAGCAGCTATATGAATTCTTAAAGGGGCACTTGGCAACTTTTTCAACTTAATAAACCCGTCTGGAAATCATTTGGATGGTTAAATGGTCTGTTCCGGTGTTAACGGTGACTGTCCCCGCTCCCCCCGGCGCCCCCCGGTGGAAAACCAGCCTTGCAACTTTGGGACTACCGTCCCGGTAAATTGGAAATGGGAAGTATCGCGAGAAGCGAGAACGAGCGAGAAACACAAACTGCTTTACGGTAATTCAACGTAAACACACACGCCCCCCTCAATAACGGTTAATCACGCCGGCTATACATGTCAGTGTTCTATGATACAGTGTATAATGTACTACCCACCTCGGTAGACATCGCGCCACACGAAAAAACCCGGCAACAAATGCACATGAGCAGCGGTAGAAAGGGGGAGGAGGGTGCCGCAAGTGAGTTTTTTTTACGACAGTGTTGTGTAATATACGTCCCAGACCTGTAGGGGGAGCTCGTTGAGAAAACATGCGACCACAAAAGTGAAAACCAGCGAAGAAATGGCCAGAGTTGCCAAGTGCCCCTTTAAACGACCCAAATTTCTGGAGGTGCAGGAAGCTGCGTTGTGCAGTTTCTGTCGTGTAGTGGTTATCACCATTGCCTAATACGCGAATGGTCCCCTGTTTGAATCCGGGCAGAAACATCTGGAATTTGATACATTTTTAGAACATTAACGGGAAGGCCATTTGTACCTAGTAAATGTTGACATGATATCAAACAAGAAAATCCAAAACCTGCATTGACATCAGGAAACGATCAAGGAGTTCCGATCTCAACCAGCTATCAGACCCAAATGTTTCTGCCGGTTTCGAACCTGGGAACTTTCGCATGTGAGGCAAACGTGATAACCACTAAAAATGTCACGCTTTCAGTAGACATCTACTTTTCTCGTTTTTAGCAGCTGTATGAATTCTTAAATGACCCAAATTTCTGGAGGTGCAGGAAGATGTATTGTGCAGTTTCTGTAGTGTAGTGGTTATCACGTTCGCCTAACACGCGAAAGGTCCCTGGTTCGAAACCGGGCAGAAACAGTTGGAAATTGATGCAATTTTAGAACTTTAACGTGAAAGCAATTGGGAGATGTTGACACGATATCAAACTAGGAAAGCCAAAATCTGCATTGACATCAGGAAAGGATCAATGAGTTCCAATCTCAACCAGCTATCAGACCCAATTGTTTCTGCCCGGTTACGAACCAGGGACCTTTCGCGTGTAAAGCGAATGTGATAACCACTACACTACAGAAACAGCGGTATGGCTGTACTTTGCCTAAAAATGTCACGCTTTCAGTAGACATCTACTTTTCTCGTTTTTAGCAGTTGTATGAATTCTTAAACGACCCAAATTTCTGGAGGTGCAGGAAGATGTATTGCGCAGTTTCTGTAGTGTAGTGGTTATCACGTTCGCCTAACACGCGAAAGGGCTCTGGTTCAAAACCGGACAGAAACATTGGGAATTTGATGCGCTTTTAGAACATTAACGTGATTGTAGATGTTGATATGATATCAAACAAGGAAAGCGAAAACTTGCATTGACATCAGGAAAGTAACAATGAGTTTCGATCTCAAATAGCTATCAGACCCAAATGCTTCTGCCCGGTTTCGAACCAGGGACGTTTCGCGCGTAAAGCGAATGAGATAACCACTACACTACAGAAAAAGCTGGATGGCTGTACTTTGCCTAATAATTTCGAGCTTTCAGTAGCCATCTAATTTTCTCGTTTTTAGCAGCTATATGAATTCTTAAATGACCCAAATTTCTGGAGGCGCAGGAAGCTGCGTTGTGCAGTTTCTGTAGTGTAGTGGTTATCACGTTCGGCTAACACGCGAATGGTCCCCTGTTTGAATCCGGGCAGAAACATATGGATTTTGATACATTTTTAGAATTTTTTAGAAGGGAAAGCCATTTGTATCTAGTAGATGTTGATATGATATCAAACAAGGAAAGCGAAAACTTGCCTTGACATCAGGAAAGTAACAATGAGTTCCGATCTCACCAGCTATCAGACCCAAATGTTTCTGCCCGGTTTCGAACAGGGGACCTTTCGCGTGTAAAGCGAACGTGATAACCACTACACTACAGAAACAGCTGCGACTGTGTTCTACGCCTAAAAATCTCGTGCTTTCAGTAGACATCTAATTTTGGCGTTTTTAGCAGCTATATGAATTCTTAAAGGGGCACTTGGCAACTTTTTCAACTTAATAAACCCGTCTGGAAATCATTTGGATGGTTAAATGGTCTGTTCCGGTGTTAACGGTGACTGTCCCCGCTCCCCCCGGCGCCCCCCGGTGGAAAACCAGCCTTGCAACTTTGGGACTACCGTCCCGGTAAATTGGAAATGGGAAGTATCGCGAGAAGCGAGAACGAGCGAGAAACACAAACTGCTTTACGGTAATTCAACGTAAACACACACGCCCCCCTCAATAACGGTTAATCACGCCGGCTATACATGTCAGTGTTCTATGATACAGTGTATAATGTATTACCCACCTCGGTAGACATCGCGCCACACGAAAAAACCCGGCAACAAATGCACATGAGCAGCGGTAGAAAGGGGGAGGAGGGTGCCGCAAGTGAGTTTTTTTTACGACAGTGTTGTGTAATATACGTCCCAGACCTGTAGGGGGAGCTCGTTGAGAAAACATGCGACCACAAAAGTGAAAACCAGCGAAGAAATGGCCAGAGTTGCCAAGTGCCCCTATAAGAATATGGACTTGTTGGCCCTCTCCAATGGAATTGATGACTTCCCTAGCAGAGAAAATGTATCCACCACAGATGAACTGGTATCTCACTACAGTGACGGACTTCATGGACTGCTAAATACTCTTGCACCACTAAAAACTCGGACTGTTTCTTTTACCCACTCTGCTCCATGGTTTACACCAGCACTACGACAGCTCAAAACTAAAGGCCGTCGTTTGGAGCGCCTATATGTAAAAACCGGACTTGCAGTTCACAAAGAAATGTATTATAATCACATACTTCAATACAAGGATGCTCTTTCTTCAGCCAAGACCACATACTACTCAACCCTAATCAGGACAGCTGACGGGAACACTAGGGCCCTATTTTCAACTCTCAACAGTTTCTTGAATCACTCCTATGCTAGGACTCCATGCTAGAATTGTTTTGGCTAAGTTAGAAGCTCTCTGAGAGTAATCTCAGAATCTTTATGAATGCAGCCCCAGGAAAGGATTAATGAGTTCTGATCTCAACCTTTCAACTGTCTATCAGACCCAAATGTTTCTGCCTGGTGACCTTTCGCGTGTGAGGCGAACGTGATAACCACTACACTACAGAAACAGCTGTACATTTGTACTTTGCCTAATGATTTTGTGCTTTCCGTAGACATCTAATTTTCTCAGTTTTAGTAGCTACATAAATTCTTAAATGACCACAATTTAATCAAGTGCAGGAAGCTGCATAATGCAGTTTCTGTAGTGAAGTGGTAATCACAGTCGCCTAACATGCAAAAGTTCCCCGGTTCGAAACCCGGCAGAACCCCTCTGTTTCAGTGACAAAATTAATTCTTAAGTGACCACAATTTGATGAGGTAAGGGAAGCTGCATTGTGCAGTTTCTGTAGTGGTTATCACGTTCGCCCAACATGCAAAGGTTTACAAACCGTTTCAAGACCCTTCCCTGCCATTTGTCCCAAGTAGATGTTGACAGGGATTCAAACAAGGAAGGCCAAACCTTTAGCTTTCTTGCATCAAGGCGTCAGTAGTCATTGAGGTCCGATTTCAACCGTCTATCAGACCCAATTGTGTCTGCCTGGTTTCGAACAGAGGACCTTTCATGTGTAACGTGAACATGATAATCACTACACTACAGAAATAGTTGTAGGTAGTCATTTTCGTGCTTTCATTAGACATCTAACTTTCTCGATTGTAGTATCTACATGAATTCTTAAATGTCCACAATTTGATGATGCGCAGTTTCCATAGTGTAGTGGTTATCACGTTTGCCTAACACGTGAAATGTCACCGCATGGGCCGCATGTCGAAACTTAGATGCATCGGCCATATGGGCTCCCCGCTGCCAGAACCTACCACCTGAGTTGTTGTCATATAGGAATTAAACTAATATCTGATAGCTATTGTTGATGCTACAGCAATTTGAAGGCATACTCTCCTATTAAACCCCATTGTAACTACTGCAGCAATGTCTCCGTGTGACGTAGTAGCGTCTACAGAAATCAAGTTTAGCTGCAGCAAAGTGAAATACTTCACTAAACGGTAAAATAGGACCTACGCACTGGGGTGCGTTGTACATCACCAATAGACATATGATGACAACGATGTCAAAGTGTTTTAGGCTGTAGTTTCACTTTAACAGTCAAATCGAACATCGACCAGATGTTTCCCTGTTTTGTATGTTTTCCACTGACAACACAAAAACAATATGCTCAACGCACCGCGGATGAATATTATAATTTCAGCTGCATGATTAAGTTGATAAAACCCAATAACATTATAGATGACAATAATAATAGTAGTAACTAATATGTGTGTAAAAGTTGTTGGTAAATGCGGTAAGTCATACATCATTTTTCAATAGCGGGACACATCGTCATGGTTTATTTCTTACTTAATAGATGATTTTTGTTTACATTGTGACAACCAAGAATTGTTCAGGCTGATGATGGGTGTCACTTAATCATTGTGGAGGTTATTGATCTATCTACATTTAAAAAAAGCCTACTAAAATAACAATAACAAGATCTAATCACAATAGTGTGTGTGTTTGTATTTGTGTGTGTGGGGAAAGGGAAGAGGGGAAGAGAGAGTGTGTCACTTCCCCTTCTCTAATATCCACCTCTGCCTTTTACTCTCATTTATTGATGTATTGCTTTACAAAATGTGAAAAACTGAATGCCTAATGCCATCTTTAATTGTTGTTGCCACATAGACAAAATCAATAAAAACATCTTCTCAAATATAAAGAGATCATTTAATTCAATCACTCTTCCTCTGTATATAAATGCCAATATAAAAGCTGCACATGAATTCTTCAAAGTTTAGTGACAGAATCAAAGACAGCTAAAGAGGAAGTTACCAGTGTAGTAAGCGTATTGTCACACACACGCACACACAATCTGGATATGTATATAAGCTTGTCAATCCACAGATCACTTCCCAGAAGCAGTGAGGTTTAGTCTTTAATGAAGAATGGAGCAGATTTATATCCGCCATGTGGAGCTTCTGGGCTTCGAGAAGCGCTTCTTCCCCAGCCAGCACTATGTAAGACACTGATCCTGCTTCTCACACCAGGGCTAGGGGTTCATGACCATTTAAATAGTCAAAGCTATTTACTAGAAAAAGTATGTTGTCCTCACTGGTGATACTGATACTAATGCTTTTTGTTGTCAATGGTTTTGAGATCGACTTGAATTTTTGCATCTGATTATTGCAGATTACAGATGCTTTGATTTGACACATTCCTATGAATCAACTTTTTTAAGTATCAAGGCACAACAATGAAAACAGCTGGGCAGGACCTGGCTTTAGCAGGACTATTGGAGTCCATCGAACCTCAATGGACACCGTGCCGTGCAGTCCTACATGGACACAAGCTAGTGAATATCTTTGAATGCATCTAAAAACAAAGGCATGTGACGTTGATCGCTGTGTTCGTTTGTACTTGTTTTGCAGGTGTACATGCTGATCGTGAAGTGGAGCGACCTTTCTGAGAACCTCATCTACCGGAGGTACCCGGAGATTCACACATTTCACGTGAGTTCCGCCCCACGACTGAAAAACACCTGAACCTCAGCCAAGTGACACTTCACTTCACTGTCACGGGACTGTTTAGATGCACACGGTCCTTCTGTTCATTGTATTTAAAATGTATTTTTCTGAGGCACAAAATAAGTGAAAACCAACCTTGCTGTCCATACTTTGTTTGCATTCTTAAAAGTAACGTTTCTGGCTCACAGAAAACCCTGAAAGAGATGTTTCCTATTGAGTCAGGGGCGATCGAGAAGAGAGACAGAACCATCCCATCATTACCAGGTAGGGAGGGGGTGCCGCCTGCTGATGTATGCATGACCATAACACACACACACACACCTATATATTTCACATTCCCATAATATCATACCTTTCCTTGTTTGTTCATGTTTGTTGTTGTTTGTTTATTTGGTGCTAACTTCCTGTATATTTATTTTTGTCTTTTCAAGCCTTGTAATGCTCTTGCACAGGAAGTGTATGACACATTTGCATGATGTGTCACTATTGCAACATGAAGTAAATATGAGCAAAATCAATCATGCTGAAACTGAAAACTAAAATGATTAGAGGAGTAGTTAGTTTGTGAGGTAAAAATGCCATTTCAACAAAATAACATTTGCAGGTTCAGAAACCGCTGCTCATCAGACAAATCAAGCAAATGTAATACATCACATTGGGCTCCCTTTGTAATATCAAATGAAAACAATTAATTCAAAACATGTATATGTATATACTGTATATTTATTGACACCCCTAGTGATAACATAAAGCTATGTTATCTTCAGACTTGGATATTACACTATCCTATAAGTTGCACATTTAAAGATGACAGCCTCTTCTACACCCACACAGAACAAAAACATGTGGAAAATCCCTTGAGGAACAAATGGCTCAACGTTCTGACATTCATTGCTACAAAGCAACAAGCATTTAAAACAAATTAGGGGAATATTAACCTAAGATAATAATAGGAAATGGTGAAAGGCTGTTGTGAAGTTTAGCTTGGCAGTTTTGTCATGCCCAGGTGTCACAACAGAAACCCAAAATGTTGCATTTTCAGTGTGCTTCCACCACACACTCCACTTCCTCCTCAGGTGTTCAGGGTTATTAACAGAAGAAGTCATTCAGGCAACTGATTTTAAAAGAATTGCTGTAAAAGCAGAAGCCTGAGTTCTGTGTAGAAAAACAAAGAACTGTAAATCTTGGACCTTGGTCTTAGAGCCGTTTATAAACAGTGAGTTTGGCTCATTTTGTAATTTGGGGTTTTCCCATACCAACGGCGAGAAAAAATAGTATAACCAAAAACTATAATGATGTACAGAGAGAACGTGCTCCTATGTCTTGTCATTGGTTGATTTCACTGTTTTTTTGTTCTTCTGTGATATTTTAAAATGATATTGCTTGTTTTTAAATCACTGAGTGGCCTTGCCCCATCGAACATTATCCACCATCTCACCCCGTACACCCCTGCTCGTACTCTCAGATCTGCAGACCAGCTGTTGCTCTCGGTACCCAGGGCAAGGCTTGAGACAGAGGGCAGTAGGGCATTTGCCGTAAGGGCTCCACAAATGTGGAATAACCTTCCATTTAGAATCAGACAAGCTACCTCAGTGTCCTCTTTTAAAAGCCTTTTAAAAACACATTTTTATAAAGTGGCTTTCAATTAGTTTTTATTCATTGTCTTTTGTCTGTTTTTAAGTGCTATACAAATTAAGTGTATTATTATTATTATTATTATCTGGATACTCTCAGCGCCCAGCTGGCGGGACAGCCAGAAGGCCACAGAGACAAGGCAGAGCCCCCTGGCCGAGTACTGCCGTTCCCTCATCAACCAGCCGCCCCATATCTCCCGCTGTCGCCTGGTGTGCAGCTTTTTCACAGTCCGGCCTGAGGATGAGATCCCGCCTGGCCCAAGCACGTCAGTATCAGCCTTGGGCTGCCCCTTCACTTGTGGAAGCATTTCCCCTGTTATTTAAGCTTATTTGTTGTTGTTGTTGTTGTTGTTGTTGTTGTTGTTGTTGTTGTTGTTGTTGTTGTTGTTATGTGAACCAATATACATCATAAGATTGAGATTGTGCCCAAATTGAGCTTTACTTTATTCATGTAGTAAAGGTGAAATGAAAAAACAACAACACAGTATAGTATGGCATTCTGAGTTGACATTTGACATGATTAAATAGCCTAATGACATGTCACCATTTCCACTTCAGAGCCAGAGAAAGTGAAACCATTGTTGTGTCCAGAGACAAATTCAAAGGCACTATATCTGGTGAGATGAAATATTGTTCATAATATCATGTTTTCCATCCCCGTCACTTTGGGCTTAAAAAAGTTCCCTATTACACTATTACACTTAGCCTATTACATCTAGTTGAGATTGCTTTTTAGGGTTAAGGTGCAGTCATTTTAGACACGGTTGGAGACCACCTGCAAGGTCGGGCACTGTGTTCTCGAGCACAACAAAACAATGATTCGATGAAGTATTGATTCTGGCACAATCAGAATCACTACAGGTATTAGTGTACAAAAACTCTTGCCTTGTTTGTTTATCAGAGTGTATTTTCATTGTTGTATATCATAATTAAACTTAAACTGAACTTCAGCTAATACACATTGAGTTCACGCGTTTCACTCTCCAAATCGTTGTATTATGTGAGCATCCTGACTTTGGTTGAGATATCATGACTTTCTGTTTGTTGCCACAGAGATCACTGGCCCCATCATTTTGGACACCTACAGGGTCATTGGTGACTACGACAAGACTTCCAAGCAT